GAGGCGTTGGACGGTTTGCCATAATTTCTTCGAGACTGACCGATAGTCCCTCTCCATGGCCTCACCAAACTCTTTCCAGACTCAAGTTTTTGCCTCCACAACCACCCGGGCTGCAGTCTGCTTGGCCTGCCGGTACCCGTCAGCTGCCTCTGGTGTCCCACGAGCCAACCAGGCTCGAAAGGACTCCTTCTTCAGCTTGACAGCATCCCCTACTTCCGGTGTCCACCACCGGGTTCGAGGATTGCCGCTGCGACATGCACCGAAGACCTTACGGCCACAGCTCCGAATGGCCACATCGACAATGGAGGTGGAGAACATGGTCCACTCGGACTCAATGTCTCCAACCTCCCCCGGGATCTGGTCAAAGCTCTGCTGGAGGTGGGAGTTGAAGATCTCCTGGACAGGGGGTTCTGCCAAATGTTCCCAACAGACCCTCACAATACGTTTGATTCTGCCAAGTCTGTCCAACTTCCTCCTCCGCCCATTGGATCCAACTCACCACCAGGTGGTGATCAGTTGACAGCTCCGCCCCTCTCTTCGCCCGAGTGACCAAGACATATGGCCAGAGGTCAGATGAAACAACCACAAAAACGATCATCAACCTCCGGGCTAGGGTGTCCTGGTGCCATGTGCACTGATGGACACCCTTATGCTTGAACATGGTGTTCATTATGGACAAACTGTGACTAGCACAGAAGTCCAATAACAGAACACCACTCGGGTTCAGATCAGGGGGGCTGTTCCTTCCAATCACGGCCCTCCAGGTGTCACTGTCGCTGCCCATGTGAGCGTTGAAGTGCCCCTTTAGAACAACAAAGTCCCCAGTCAGAGCATCTTCCAGCACCCTTCCCAGGAACTCCAAGAATGCCGGGTACACTGCCATTCGGCCCATGAGCACAAACGGTAGTGAGAAACCTATCCCCGACCCAAAGGCGCAGGGAAACGACCCTCATGTTCACCGGGGTAAACTCCAACACATGACGCCTAAACTGGGGGCTATGAGCAAGCCCACACCAGCCCGCCGCCTCTCACCGCAGGCAACTCCACA